CTCTGGAGACATAGTTCCTGGAAAGGGGGAAATTTTAAATCAATTTCACGGAAATTTGTTTTTATGTTTTTAGATCTGGGTTTTATTTCCTGGAAATGTGATGAGTATAACGGAAAAACAGGGTGTTACATCATATTGGATCGGGTACATAGTTCTATATTTGGATTTAAGGTATAACATTACAGAAAATTGTCAAAAATTTAATCATTTTAAAGGTTAGGAGAGGCTAACATAAATAATGTATATGGAGAAGTTTTTATGTTCTTTGAGCATTTTCATGCGTACCTCTAGTATTCTGTGGGTATTTTGAATATTCTCTGCGTATTTCTAGTGTTCTGTGGGTATTTCTAGTATTCTGAGGGTATTTCTAGTATTTTGTGGGTATTTTGAATATTCTTTGCGTATTTTGAGTATTCTCTTCAGTCTTCATTTGACTAGGTAACCGCCAAAAAAGTTCTATGAAAAAAGTTTTCCGAAATAAAGTCCTTAATTTTGACATTAAAAAAGTCCTGTGAAAAAAATCCTTGAAATAAAAAAAAGTATCTGGAAATAAAGTCCTACCATTTGAGAATTTATTTTTTAGGACTTTTTTTCTGGTACCAAGTATGATTTTTTATAAAAAGTCCTCGGAAAAAAAGTCATCTTACAGTGGAAAATGTTTACATCCATAGAAGAAAAGAGACCCGTGAGTAGATTCACTATGCAGATGCATAGAAGAAAAGTCCTTTTCATAAAAAGTGTAAGACTTGACCTCATTTCCCCAAAACTTAGGACTTTTTCTTCAGGACTTTAAATCCTGTGATCTTATATCCTGAAATTTTATTTGCAGTTCCAATATTATTTTAGGTCCCATGATTCTGTAACTCAGGACCTTATTTTCAGTGCAAGGCATTGTGTACTAGGACTTCAGAAAACCGTGACTTTTTTGTCAAAGTTTTTATTTCCAGTTACATAGATTCTTTTGAATATTCCGTGCATAGTTAGAGCATTTTATTATTTTTTTTTCATCCTTCTATGTGGAAAACCTTTATCAATTTTTAGATTTTTATTATAAAATATGTTGTCGGCAAGTTAGCATGCAGATTTGTCGCGTATCTCGAAGGATTGAATTGCTTTGATACGCTGATTTACAATGTCCATCAAATGATTTTATGTAAAAGAAGATTGCAATATCTCAACAGATGATTTGTCAAAACTCTATAATTAAATAAAATTTAATTTACTTAATGATACTTTTGGATAACAATGAAAAATACCACTTGATTGGGAATTGTTAGATGTAGATTTAATATTATTTTTGTTGACACTTTTGATCTTTAAAAACTAAAAGAGTTAATTTTTTTTTGTACCGACTGTACATTTAATGAAGTAATATCATTTATATGTTTATTCAATCATGCATTCATCAATGTATCTACTCCTTGCTTGTATTTGATCTGTCTATGTATTTATTTCATACCTTCAGTGTGTTTTTAGTAATTTAATAATTTAATAATAATTAATAATTTAAATAAATTCTAAAAATGTCAGCACTTTCTTAAACGGAGTAATTAATGATAAAACACAATGAGAATAACAGTGACGCAAAGGAACTGAGTCTTTGCCACAAACTCAAGTGTTCTAACTAATCCTTATATCTTTGCAACCTGATGGTGTAAAACATGCATAACAATTGATATTTCAAACTTAGATCAGTTGATCTATAACAGAATTCATCCATTATCCAAGGTCTACTAAAATGGGTTGAAAAATATAGAAAAAAAAACATCCAAGTTTGTGTCAAAATCTCAATTCACTTAAACAATTGTGCCTATAGATCAAACATATAACGCATAAAAATCTACAATTGTGTCTTTAGATCAAACATATACCACATAAAAAAACTACAATTGTGTCTATAGATCAAACATACCACATAAAAAAACTACAATTGTGTCTATAGATCAAACATACCACATATAAAAAACTACAATTGTTTCTATAGATCAAACATATACCACATAAAAAACTACAATTGTGTCTATAGATCAAACATACCACATAAAAAATATTTGATCTTAGAAGCCCTATATTGGTTGAGCTCATTATTATGATTATTATGCAGTCGACAAAATGGTAAAAGACGTTTTTGTGAATTTTTCACAATTCATGCCAAAACTGTTGAATCAAAGGCAACTTTTGCACCGTATAATTTTTATTCTAATTCTTGAGATTGAGAATTAACATTAAACGTGAGTAAATCAACAAAATGACAAGGAAGGCTCCGCCCACCAAACAGGCCCACTAAAGGTTTAGCAAAGCAGAGGGTGCATTTCAAGGGATAATTCTACTCTGCAGCTTCTTTAAAGAACGACATGTATGATTTTCAATGGCATCCTCTAAACCTCTTTCTAAAACAATAAAAATAAAATTTGTTTTTCTGTAACCAAGACAACCACGGTAAAAACAATTAAGCTTCAGGTTGAAAAATAAAGATATCTAGTCAAAGGTTTAATGGATACCGTTGTAAATCAAACTTTCGACTTATTTAAAATACAAACCACCAAGGGCAATGCCAAATAAGTGCATAAAAACTAAGTCTTTCGATTTGTCTTTTGAACTGCAGCAGATTTAACTTTCCCACGTGAATTTTTAACTTCAAAATATCTAAGCCCAACACAGTATAACCATTACCAATGAAGGTTGGACGGCACAGAAATGTTTAATTTTTCTAATATTGAGACCCCTGAACTGATGAAGGTTCTACTTGGTATATTTGCATGTTAAGAGTTGAAACATGCCACATGGAACCGGAAACATGCCGCGCGCACAACCATTTACAATCCGTAAAATGCCGCGTTCACTTACCAGGAACATAAAATGATATAAATAAATGAATTCTCGTGAAAAGTTTGAATTTGAAGAAAATGCTGAATGATTTTGCAGGATTCACTCAACGCTTCAAATATCAGATTTAACTGGAATGTTGATATAAACTCAATTTACAGAATACAATACATTCATTCATCATAGGCTACATAGGCATTCATTTATTATTCATTTCTTTATGCACTCATTCATTAAATATTTATAAAGCATAATTCATCATAGATTAGGTTTTTATATACCATTTATTTATCATATTTTAGGTATTTATTCGTTATTATTTATCATTCAGTGGGCATTCATTCATCATTCAGAAGACATTCATTCTTCATTAAGTAGACATTTATTTATTATTCAGCAGGTATTCATTCATCATTCAGTAAGCATTTATTCATCATTCATTTATCATTCAGTAGACATTCATTTATAATTGAATAGGCATTCATTAATCATTAAGTAGACATTCATTCATAATTCAGTAGACATTCATTTATCATTCAGTAGACATTCGTTCATAATTCAGTATTCATTCATTAATCTTTCAGTAGACATTCAATCAAAATTGAACAGGCATTCATTTATCATTCAGTAGACATTCATTCATAATTCAGTGGACAATCGTTCATAATTCAGTAGTCATTCATTAATCTTTCAGTAGACATTCAATCAAAATTGAACAGGCATTCATTTATCATTCAGTAGACATTCATTAATCATTCAGTAGACATTCGTTCATAATTCAGTAGACATTCATTCATCTTTCAGTAGTCATTCATTCATAATTTAATAGGCATTCATTTATCACTCAGTAGACATTCGTTTATCTTTCAGTAGACATTCATTCATAATTGAATAGGCATTCATTTATCATTCAGTAGACATTCATTCATAATTCAGAAGACATTCATTCATCTTTCAGTAGTCATTCATTTTTCATTTAGTAGGAATTCATTCATCATTCATTAAACATTCGTTTATCATTCAGTAGGCATCCATTCAAAGTTTATTAGTGACTTATTCATCATTCATGTCCATTTTCTCCTAGGTATGGAACAATTTCTATTAAATCGTGCTAATTTTAAAACTTTAAAAAAGAACATTATCGTGGTTTTATAACTTTTATAACTATTCTTAGGAATTCATTCAGAATTTTATTCCACTCTTAGTTGAGAGTTATATGTATAATGTATTTTGACCATGCACGCGCGCCTGTGCTTTTAAAGCTTAGGCCGCCACACAAGAGAAAAATAAATGATTTTCCTATGCAAAGCGCTGAAAGTTTTTAACATGGACCGACATAAAGAAGTTTTTAGAATAAAGCGGAATTAAATAAAAAATTGTTCTTTTAAAAAGCGCCATCTTTTCTGTAAGAAATGCGGTTTACAAGTTTATCTATTCAGAGGTCGGAATCTTGTACGCTTGATCTTGATATCTAGTGTGGGCTCTTTCGATTTGAGGATCAATGCTTCATCCCTGAATTATCACTGGATATCGAAAAAGAATCAGATTGATCCGTAGGTCAGCATAATCTCATATTTTTTTTTATTATTCAACTACAAAGCACGAGATAATACAAATAAAAAAATCACAATTTACTATGTAGGTCAGCATAATCTGGAGATCATTGCTTGATCCTGAAATTCAGAACACAAAAGTTGTGACTTTTGAATCCATCGCTAAAATATACAGGGTGTCCCAATAAACACGAGAATACAGAGACGACTTAAATATCGTCTTTGGTTTCCGGTAATTGATGAATGACATAGAGTTCATCAAAAAAAAACCCTGTAGTTCTAATGAGCTTTCCAAAATATTATCTACCTTTTTTTTGTATCTTTAAAGTTGACGGAGATATTAAACTTTTGAAAAGTTTTGTTGATTTTGAATTAACTTGAAGCTGGACAAATTTCCTTTTATCTCCGGCAATTTTGAAGTTAAAATAATGGTAGACCACATTTTGGAAATCCCAAGTCTAAAGTAGTTTTCTGTGTTAAATGTTTCAACTGTGACAATAAATTTTTTTACGAAATAATCCCTTTTGGAACAAAGACTATATAGAAGTCGTCAATTAATTCCCATGTTTACGGGGACATCTTGTAAGATTAAACAAATAATTGATTTATTAGATTAGATTTTACATACTATGAAAACTTGACTTTTAAAACTGGTTGAGGTTTATTTTTAAAGAAGCCCAAAAATTAACAATATCTCTATTTAATGTTGGATATTAAAAATTAACAATATCTCTATTTAATGTTGGATATTAAAAATTACTAATTAATACTATTTAAAAGCTAAATGAAACTTGCAAGGTAAGGAAAATGTAAAATGTAACTCTGACATGTTTTCAAACAAAATTGTTTTGAATTTTTAATACAGGGTGTCCCAAAAAACATGGGAATTCAGTGACGAATTCGATATCGTCTTTGTAATGAATTAGCATTGTAATCCCTAATTTCAAAAGCCATAATATTATTATGTCTGCTAGAGTTTATTTTATGAAAAGGGTAAAAGACTGTAAAGATGTGTCTATAATGTCTCCGCAAGATGAACAGTGAAGACGGACAAGTTTACTCTGTTTTTTTATACTCCAATTTTCTTGTTTTACTAAGTACAACCGTATGCAGTCAAAACATAAACAAACAAATTGTAAACATAGCAGACGAAACTCTTTCAGATTACAGCTTTCTCAGTAGGTATCACAATACTAAATCAAAGAATTATTTAAAAAGACGATGTCTAATTCGTCACTGAATTCCCATGTTTTTTGGGACACCCTGTACGTCGCCGGATAAATTTACTTCTCTCATACTTGTGTGTAAAACTAGAGGAGCTACGAGGTCGTATAAAGGTTACCTTTTCTCTTCTGTCTAGTCTTTCAATTTCAAGACTTAAGCAACAAACATCGTGACTTGGAGTTGTGACTTAGAATCAGGGAGTTAGGAATAGATGGGAGATATAACTGACGCGGTTCTCCCTACCATATGATTATACTTTGCAGCTAGACGGGCGGGTACTCCATTTGTATCTGAAATATTCAGAATAGGTTATGAAATGTACATCAGACAAATATTTCTTATTCAAATGAAGTACCCGTCTGCAATGCATGTATAATCATATGGTAGGGAGAACCGCGTCAGTTATATCAATTCCTTACTCCCTGCGTAGAAACTGTCTTGAGAGTCTTGAACGAATTCTAACCTAGAATGTGAGTAACTAAATCTGGATTCTGTGGCCATTTTGATGCTTTAATATTTTCAAAAGGAACATTTTTGATGTTTTCCTATTCCTACAGCTTAATAATAATTAAGAGATTTTTGCAGCTTGGGTTATGTTAGGTTACACAAAGAATAAAAAATTAAAAGCATCATAATTGTCCTAATTGATAATAAATAGGTTGCAGTGTAAAAAGGTAATGATTAAAACACAGAGTGTTATTTATTCAATTAATAAAATATATACACATAAACTTTTAAGATATATACGGTGGTAGGCATTTAATTTAGTATAATGAAGACGACTTTTGATTAAATTTTGTTTTATTTCAAGCTTTCAAACACGAGAAAAAAGAGAAGCTATTAATCTAAAAAGCTTCTCTTTAATTACTTGATTACTTATAATTTAAAAAAAAGCTTGTTAACAATTACAACTTTGTAAAAGGTCGTCTTCATTAAATTAATATTATTTACTACGAATCCCTGAGTTTAAAAATAAAAAAAATTATTTTACGCTATAAAAAATATAGAAATATAGAAAATTGAAAAAATAAAATTAATTTATGTTCCGAGAACCACGCCGCCATTTATTATTATTTTACTGCGCAATATTATAAAATGCGCGAATTCAGCAATTATTCAGAATTTCCGAGAATCTGCAGATTTGTGAAGTTCTGCTGCGCTGGTAGAGGATTGTTTCCACAACGCCGTGAATTGTGCACTTTACAGTTCACTTTTCATCTGACTTATGTTCTTTATACAGGGTTACTCACAAAACACTTGAATGGTGACCTGAAGTCTTTCATTGGTATAACTTAAGGATTTGGATTTTGGAATAGAAAAATATCAGTTTACAACTAGAGGAAATTATAAATGTAAGAAAAATATCTAAATATTTCTTATCCTTTGCAGGTCAGCTCTTTACCACAGCTTTTTAGCAAGATAGCTAAGATTATTCTCGAGTTTAGCTAGTGTTAGAACAAAATGGAAGGATACGAGTTTAGTTAGTGTTAGAGCAAAATGGAAGGACACGAGTTTAGCTAGTGTAAGAACGTTAATCTTCAAAACTAAAACTGGTGTCTAGCTTTTAGCCTGAGACTATACAGCTCAATAACTAAAACTGGTGTCTATAGCTTTCAGCCTGAGACTATACAGCTCAATAACTAAAACTTTTGTATAGTCTGAGACTATAAAGCTCAATAACTAAAACTAGCGCCAAGCTTATAGTCTTAGACTTCACAACTCAATAGCTAAAAAGTATTTTTCTAGCTTACAGTTTAAGACTATACATCTTAATAACTTAAACTAGTCTTTATCTTATAGTCTGAGACTAGTGTCTTTTTATTATCTGATACGATTTATCATTATAGCCAAGACATGTATTTAGCTTTTTAGCTAAATGACTATTTAGCTTAACCACTAAGACTAGTCTATACATGACCTAGAAGAAAAAGTGTTATTTAACTCCAGGTTTGAGCCTACACATCACTCTTGTTAGTCTAAGTTGTTGAACAGTCTCCTAAAAAAACTAGTTGAAAACTAGAAAACTAAGAATTTACTTTTTATTCTACATTTAATGAGTTAAATGCCCTTAAACTTTTATGATGGAGATATTCTTGTTTTGATCTGACGGAGACAAAGAAGTAAATAAACAAAATTGATTTATTTTTAGTAACGATTAACAACGGTATTTTCTTCTTGAAATTTTTTATATAGATTAAATTGAAATGTCTACTTGGAAGCTCAAATCTAATTTTATTAAAAAAACTAAAAATGTTAAACAATTATTTAAAATAATCTTAAAAATCTTATTTTAATTCTTCTTGACAACTTTACATTTTGTCTGAATATTTTCTTCAAATTCTTATAAGAATTCTTATAATTCTCATAAATTTAATTTGTAAAAGCCTGTTTTAGCTTCACTCTCAGCCTTAACTTGATAACTTGATGTCCATAATCAGAGGCGTATACCGGAATTGGTCCAAGAATAGGGCGTACATTACTTCTTTCTGTGGGGGGGGGGGGGCCCGGGTCAGCACCCGTTCGGGGTCTTACTCTAAAAACCTCCCGAAAATTATAGATTTCACTACGTCGGGGGGTTGCCCCCCCCCCTACCCCGTTGTTTGCAGTTTTCAATACTATGATGGTAAAAGTTTTTTAGTAAACCATATTGCATGCGCAACTACCTGGAAAAAAGTGTTAATTGTTGAATCCCGATCCGGTCGTCTTCCTTCGAACAGTGCGACTGTAAACCAGAAATCAAACGTAACATTCGTGGAATTTTCAATTCTTGGAACAGATGAAAACTTAAAATGTTACACACTACACTGTTTAATTAACAACTAGAATTCAACATAATTTAATAATGGAAAAATGTCATGGATTGCGCTGTCATTTTATTTTCAATAAATTCAAAATTCATAAGAAATATTAGGTTCAAAAAATAAAAATAAAGCTTCTTCAGAATGCGTCGAAAGCAGAAATGGTTTACAGTCCTGGTTTTATCAGAATTAAATGATTTGCAGAAATAGAATTCAAAAGAAACTTTCCAAAAAATAATTTACAATAAAAAAATTAGGCAAAAAAAGTTCATAAATTACCTATTAATATTTAATTTCATTTTATTACAAAGTTCATAAGTTACCTATTAATATTGAATTTCATTTTATTACAAAGTTCATAAGTTACCTATTAATATTTAATTTCATTTTATTACGAAGTTCGTCTAAAATTATATTCGTTGCTTTCACAGGATTGAAAAATTACACACATTTTATAAAATATGCATGCCATAAAATATTCAAGAAAGTACAGGGTGTCCCAGGAAACATGACAGTAGCAAGACAATTTGAAAGTCGTCTGTAATCTTTGACTTTGAGACATTCAGTCGCCATCCTTCTTTCACATATAAAATTCTTGAAACAATAACCAAAACATTCTCCTAGTCCTTTCAAAATGTGGTTTCAGATTTTAGATTTCATCATTAAAATCGAAATATGAACAAAATTCTTCATATCTCCGGTAAAATTAAAAGCACTGAAAAGGCAGACCACATTTTGGAAGTCCCAGGACTAGGGGTGTTTTGAGACTATTTACTTTAGAATTGTAATTCTAAAAGTTGGTTCACGAAAAAATACTGCAATTTTTTTTCAAAAATCAAAGACGACCTTAAAGTCGTCTTGCTTCTGTCATGCTTCATGGGACACCCTGTACCTCTGTACGCAATGAAAAAGAAGAAGCGAAAGGTCGTTAAAAACAAAAACTAAAGAAAGTTTGATCTCCTAATGTAAATCTTGGATCTATCATCTGCAGAAAATACGTTATATTAATCCCTGCATCATAGAAGTGAACCAACCTAAAAATACAGAGTGCGTCTCACAAAAATACGCAAGTAATTTTTATTAACATGAAATAGCCCAGATCAACTCTCAGGATCATCAAAAAAAAAAACACAAAAAAAACCAACATTTTGGATCTTAATAAAGAAAGGGTGAAAGAGTTGGCACTATATAAAGGTAGAGTATTGAAGTTGACCCTATATAAAGGTAGAGTATTGAAGCTGACCCTATATAAAGGTAGAGTATTGAAGATGACCCTATATAAAGGTATAGTATTGAAGATGACCCTATATAAAGGTAGAGTATTGAAGTTGACCCTATATAAAGATAGAGTATTGAAGCTGACCCTATATAAAGGTAGAGTATTGAAGCTGACCCTATATAAAGGTAGAGTATTGAAGCTGACCCTATATAAAGGTAGAGTATTGAAGTTGACCCTATATAAAGGTAGAGTATTGAAGCTGACCCTATATAAAGGTAGAGTATTGAAGTTGACCCTATATAAAGGTAGAATATTGAAATTGACCCTATATAAAGGTAGAGTCATTGAAGCTGGCCCTATATAAAGGTAGAGTATTGAAGTTGACCCTACATAAAGGTAGAGTATTGAAGCTGACCCTATATAAAGGTAGAGTATTGAAGCTGACCCTATATAAAGGTTGAGTATTGAAGCTGACCCTATATAAAGGTAGAGTATAGAAGCTGACCCTATACTGCAATGGTAGAATTATGATATTTGGTACTTTCCCGAAGGCTGTTTTAGCCGCGGGCTGCCCCTTAGCCCATCCTAGATGCAGCGCTCGACCCCCCATTGCTGCCTTTGGGAAGTTGCTGCTTTGGAAATTGCACATTTGGGAAGTTTACACTTGGGAAATTGTCACGGGAAGGCGCCCTTGGAAAAACGTCTTTGGAAAAGTACCAAACACCAGAATATTGAAGCTGACCCTATATAAAGGTAAGAATATTGAAGCTGGCCCTATATAAAGGAAGAATATTGAAGCTGACCCTATATAAAGGTAGAGTATTGAAGTTGACCCTATATAAAGGTAGAGTATTGAAGTTGACCCTATATAAAGGTAAAGTATTGAAGTTGACCCTACATAAAGGAAGAATATTGAAGCTGACCCTATATAAAGGTAGAGTATTAAAGTTGACCCTATATAAAGGTAGAGTATTGAATCTGACCCTATATAAAGGTAGAGTATTGAAGCTGACCCTATTTAAAGGTAGACTATTGAAGTTGACCCTATAAAAAGGTAGAGTATTGAAGCTGACCCTATATAAAGGTAGAATATTGAAGCTGACCCTTTACAAAGGTAGAGTTTAGAAGTTGACCCTATATAAAGGTAGAGTATTGGAGTTGACAGTATATAAAGGTAGAGTATTGAAGCTGACCCTATATAAAGGTAGAGTATTGAAGTTGACCCTATAAAAAGGTAGAGTATTGAAGTTG